TGTCAGATATTTGTAATATAGTTTCTTTGGATCCTCTATGTGATTTATATACACACATATTTTGGGTGTGTATGTATACTCAATACATATTTTCCTATGCCTTACTTTCTTTGCTTAATAATCTATATCTTTCCATATTAACACATACAGGTCCGTCTAACACTTGATAAGGCTTAATAGTTTTCCGTGGTCACTCCATTTTGTGACTATCTTCAGATCTTCCCTACCTCCAAGTTTACATATCTATTTATGGATAGATAGACTCCTATTTCTCTAATAATAATTTGTTCAGTTCTTTAATCAATTTAGAATTTATCAATAACATTCTTTATTAGGAAAATAAGTACCTAATTTTGATGGTATAATTTTTGTCAAATATTGCATGGTTCCTGTCATTACATAACTGAAATTCAGATTTAGATTTCAGGAGCAACATATACCAGACCAAAGAAGAAGGAAATGAAGAGCTTACAGAAGTTCCTATTTTCAAACTTACTTGATTTGAAATGTTATGACTTAGGAGACAAGTTGGGAAGATTAGCGGATCACTCAATGAGGCCGAAGACAACAGGGCATCATAGCAGCCAGGTGATATTAACAGCTATTTTTGGACGAATTCTAAATCCACTGGGTGTGTTTTTTGCTATTGAGCCCATATTTCTTCTCATTTTAACAATAACCCAGATATATAGTTTAAAACCACCCAATTCTCATAGTTCCAGTGAACTCTGGCCCCCATCCTTGTGACACTCATTCCATTCAGTTATTAGTTGTGATCAGTCAGATTTTTCCATTGTACTTAAGATTCTTTGCTCCGTTGATGTTTGTTGAATGAACATTTATACCCCCCCAAACTAAGAAAAAACAGGAAGCCATAATTTTCACCCTTTCCCTTGCTCCTTCCCTCCACCCTACATTCACACATTCACAACATTTTTACTTCAGAATGATACCAAACTTGATCTGCACAGAAATACAAGGACCCAACCTCCTGACTCAGTTTTATTTTTTTTCTACTCACCACTCTCACAGGTTGGCAGTGGTGTCGGCCCCCACTTTTTATTTGCTTGGCACCAAACAGTTTTGTTTCCTTTCATGGTGAAGTTGGTATTACAGGCAAATGTCACAGAATCACCATGTCTGTATGGTGGTCTAGACTTTTTACTTCTGTAACCCCCTGGTACTGTGGGTTCAGGGCAAATAGAATTTTTATTGTAATATTCACAAATGGGAGCAGCTTTATCCCAGATTCCATTTACTTGGTCTTTACTTATACAAAAGAGAATACTTTCTCCAATGAGGCGGAAGG